AATATTTCATTAAATTTATTTGATTTATAATTTATTATGCTCATTTTAAAATTATTTTTAATATAATAAATTTATTAAATAAAAAATTACTATTGTGTAGATGAAAATAGTGAAACGTTATTTCGATTATTTGAAATATCTAAAGATGAATTTAGTTATAAATGCAGATAGTGCAGTTTAGACTTATATATATAACGATCCATCTTAAGCTCCTCAAAAATTTAAGAGATTTAATTATGTATCTTCAGGTATCTTATCAAATAATTTTTTATGTAAGCATTTAAAGAATTTTAAATTTTCTTTATTAATAATAAATAGTACTAATACTTGATCACCGAAATCTAAAGTATCTTTGCTTAAATCATTATCATCATTATCTGTTACTATCGCTATCATTGTAATCATCATCATCATAGTAGTATCATTTCTATTCTTTAAGGATTCTTCAGGCTGTAAATTTGCATTGATTTCTTTTCTTTAATTATCAAATCATCTAGGAATAACCTCAAGGTCGATTTCATCAAATCCAGAAAGCTCTTTTATAAATATGATGAGATCGATTAAAAGGTTCAGTCTAATGAGTTTCATCAAATTATAATAGTTTTTCATTAATTCTTCATAAGTTCCTGATCCATAAGTGAATAAGGTAATGATACTCATTGGTGATAAATGATGAAAGTTCCTTTAATAATATTTACTAAATTTGTAAGATTTAATCATAATGATAAGTTTTCTGATACGTAGATGTTATAGGCATGATTTGAGGATCAATCACATTTCCATAATTATACCCATGTATACATTTTGATTGATACTCTTTTGATATCTTAACATTTGGTTAAATACTTTTGTAACTTCAATTGAATGATTAAGTTTATCAAATTTACTTAAGGTTGTGGGGTCTCTTAAGAGTAAAGTGATCTTATGCCCACATTTTCAAAGAAGTATACTATAAAAGAACCGCTATTACCAACTCTAAGTATATGCCAATGTTTCATTTTTATAAGGTAAATTGCTCATTGAGAGAAAGGCAAGAAAAATGGAATTTCACGTGATTCACGTGACAAATCTTTCCAAAATTCTTTTCTACGATGATGTTAATTTTACTTCGTTGGCAGATCGATCACGAAATGGTCAGTATTAGAGTACCGGTCAACATTAACTGTGGCTCTCAGTTACAGTATAAGTTTTACTTAGGCATGGTGAATTATCACTTTAGGTCACGTCACTCGTTAGGATAACTATGCGTCACATTAAGTGACGAACACAGCGTTACCCATAAAAAATGGTAGCCAGATTTTATTTGCCGGGTATTTATTATTTGGGTTAGTATTAGAGTTAGGGTACAGATTAGGATTAGGATTGGGGTAGAATTAGGATTAGTTTAAGGGGTTAGCAAATTTGTCACATCGCGTCACATCCCAGCCATTCTTCAATTTACTTGGAGAGAAAAATGCTAATTGTCACAATTATATGTCACCATAATAAGTATATGTGACCCGGCAAATAAAATCCGGCTACCATTTTTTACGAGTAAGCATATAAATCACGTGATATAGTGGTCTATTATTGATTAACAAGTTATTCCATATTCTTTCAAAGTCTTTTAATCACATAAAAATCACTTGAGAAATTATTTCACCATTCAAAACGACATAAAATAACAACGTACTTAGAATTACGAGATAACAACTCTCGAAATCAAGTTCTTAATTTTTCTAAAAATTTGCATAATGTCTACAGTTCAACGCGACCTATTAAAGGGGAGCCTACAGATCAAGTTATCCGCAACGACCTTACAAACATACATAGGTTTATATAGTACCAAAATTTGTTGATTTATAAAATTATGGGATTTAAAATTCTATATATATAGCTCAATTATCCATTTTCGGGTCATGTGACTGAAAACTAAATTAATATCTAAAAATGCCTTCCAATAATCACTCCAAAAATGATTGTCAAAGAAAAGTTGAACGTAAAAGAGCTTTTCGCTCTAAGAAAAATCAAGAGTTCAAGAATGACTTGAAGATGAAGTCTGCTGGTCGAAGAAAGGGTGTCGCGTCTCGTATTAGATCAAGTTACGAAAGAGAACAATTTCAGCATAGACATGCTAGAAGCAGAAAATTATCTTCAAAGGAAGCATCGTTGCAGCAGAAGTTATTTTACAAGGATTTTGTGGGAGGGACGAGTATTGGTACCAGTTTGGTGGTCTGGGTGGTGGTTGTGAATTTTGTTTTTGTTGGGCTTTCTTTTCAGTATTCAACTTCGTTGATGTTTCTTTGCCAACTATTAGATACAAACGATTGTGGCAAAAGTTCCGATTTCTGCGAGCGATTTATATTATAAATATATGGGTCGTTCGCTATCACGAGATACTTACAATTTTGCTAATCTTTACTAATTAGATAACAACAAATAGATTTCTTTCAGTTTCCCCCGTTACATATATTCGACAAGATCATAATTGCGTTTGAGATTTTATACATATATGACAAAATTGATCACATGATAGATTAACTTATTGTTCTTGGACGTGCGTCGTTGGATTTTAACGATATTAATTAAATTTTTTTTTTTTGAACTTTGGAATTTATTATTATTTGGTGTAACATCACCAGTTACTCAAAATGTAAGAAAAAAAAAAAGAAAAATAATTTCATTTCAATAAGTAAAATATGAAACCGTTACTTCCAATATATTCCTCGTTTCCTTAATGAGGTTGAATTCGAATTTGTCCAGGATATATCAATGATACGATAGGATAAACCGCCGATGAAGGTTTTTTCCAAGAAGTAACGGCCGGATATTTTGTATCATTAATCGAATAAGCCAAGGTTTTCTCATCCATGTCTAGATGAACGGTTACCTTATCACCTTGTGAATAGGTTTCTTTTCGTCGTATTTTACTATTATCATTCCAATAAATCCCAGCCGCACTAAAAACCCATCCACTACTTTGACGACCTGCGAATTCCTCTAAACTAAAATCTTCACTTGCGCAAATTCCAATATACATTCTTTTACAACTTTTATCAACGATCAGGTCCCATTCATATTTACCACAATTCTCGATTAAAATCGTACCTCGAACATTTTTTGCTGATTTACATGTGCTCAGCGCTCTCACTATCAATCCCTCTCCTTCAACCGTCATTTCTGATCCACATGCTGATTGATCCCAAATAAAGTTCAATTTCGATACGCTGGTTGTTGGAATAACTGAAGAGTTAATCTCATTTAATTGCAAATTTTTTGGATCCGTAGTCTCAGGATAAGTTTCATAAATTGGGTTTCCATTGATGGAAGGAAATAAATTGCTTTGTTCATCGGCGGTAAGTGATAAAGGTAAATTCATATTAAAATTATTCCTAGCATGAAATCTGTATACGTCAATAACTTTATCAGGCGTAATAAGGTTCAATGGTTCTATTATATCTGTCAAGAACTTTCCTTCAATACGTCGAATATTAATGAATTCAAGCAAGGGATTTATTATTTCAAATAATTGTGGACGAAAACGATGATACTCGGTATTATGTATGGTGACTTGATTAAAATCCCGTGTTTCGTTTGCTCTGTTCGGAATTGGCAAGTAATTGTCAAGTATTTCAACCGCTTTCTTGGAAATTTGATGCGCGGAATGGATAGTTATATATCGAAACACTTCATACTCTGTTGTCGCCAAAGATTTTCCGTTCTCCCTTGCGTACGACAAAAGAAATTTTAGAGCGGCGAAAGACAGCTGATTATATTCAATGGCGCTTATGGGTATTGACGATATATATTCGGCCAATATTTGAGAGAGAGGATTCTTTTCTGATAATGGTAACTTGACAAGAGCCCTTGATAATAATTCGGGCGTAAAATACGAATCGGTTGATTGCAAAAAGAAACCTATGATCCTGACAATATAATCCAAGAGACTATTTAATTGGAAGTAATCTGCCGCGTGATAAATGTCAATCACGTCTTCATTTCTCATCTCTCTAGCCGTATAAGAACCTGTGTATAAATAATTTAGTATAGCCTCCATAGCGTTGGATTTTATCTCGGGAAAATATATTTGATTATCATGACTTTCTTTCATCTTGCTGTAAAGAATACCATCAAAAACTTTGCATCTCGCTGCTAGTATCACCTTTGATGCATAAAAACTTCTTCCATCTTCACACAGAATAACAATATCACTATATTTTTGACAGTTGACTACCATCCTCAAATCTTTGGCTAATGAGAAGCCCTTGTAGTTGTCCACAGTTGTATAACTACGCCAAAAAAAAAAAAAAAAAAATGAATATAAATTATATATGTGCCAATATTGACAAAGTTTGAGAAGATGCATAAAACAGAAAAAGTTAGAAACGGAAACTAACCTCATTTTAAGCAAGGTGAGCGGAAATATTTCTTTTTTGTTTGGTTTCGAATAGCGAAGGTAAAAAAAAAAAAAAAAAATTAGTCAATCTGAACTTTTAGCTAAATCGAGTAAAAAAAAAGCATATCATGATTGAAATTTCCTATTTAAGATAATTATAAGAAAATTACAATATGGAATAAAATAAATTTTTAAAAAACTAAGGAATTTCGTACAAGTTTAACTTTAATAATAATTTTTTTTTTTATTCTAGACAACCTTCTACTTTGATTTGTAATAATAAATAAATTTACCAGTGATTAATAAAAATTTCGAACGTCTCGAACTTTTTTCGATAAAACTACTCTTCTAACATTACTCAAAGTAAATCCAAATTTCCGAGTTTTTTTTTTTTCATTTGATAAGCCTATCTCGAAACAATTCAATAATTTTCAAGAATGTGTCTAGTTTATGTCGAATTTCAACTTTCGAAATGAGTATTACGGTGAATTTTTTTTTAAATGTCAAAATCGATTTTTAACAAGATAATACTCCGAGAATTGATAAATTTCCTCAAATCGAAAGAGTAAACCTCCAATCACGACTTGGCAACATTCAACATGTTTATGTAATTCTTTGCTGATAGGGAAGATCACATTTAGCAAAGAACTTAGAAGGTTAGCATAAAATTTTCGGAATAACTTATAAGAAAATTAGGGATAGTAAATATTGCACCGTAGATTGTTCTAGGGGATTGAGTATATGAACAGCAAGAAGTTTTTCCGCCTCGTTTTGGATTCAAATGTCAGGGTTTAGTCAGGGTAATAACCTTTCCCCCTTCTATTCAATTTTGTTTCAAACATCCCTACGCAGAAAAAAAAAATAATTGATCACCTTTCAAATGTCATGGAGAATGCCAAGATGTTTCAAAATAACATTTTTCTTCAAGACATTACATTATCGATGTTGATGTAACAAGTAGATTATCATGGAGTTGTTTGTTGAAGAAATCATGGGTAACAATCATTTTTCATTTTTTTACTTGGTGAGTCATAAGAGTTGAGAAAGCTTACTAATTAAGTTATTGTCTTAAAAAGTAAAGTTCGATTTAAAGATCGCAACGAACGGATAAAGTTTTCTTTGTTCTCGAGGTTATTGATTCCGCAGTAAATGATTTGTAATCACATGAAGTTTGAAATTGGCCAATCGATTGACGTCCTGCAGTAAGGTTTCTCAATGGCGCCAAAATAATTGCCAGTGGTGTAACCTACATCGGGATATAAAGAGCCAAGAAAATTTATTCCCA